TGTGTATCATACACATATATAAAATATATGAATTTAATAACCCAAATTAGAGTTAATTTCAAAGTATAAAACTGCTTGACTATGAAAGGAATAATCTCTAAGCTTCCTTTAACAGGTGATGTATCTAGTTCCTTTAAAATATGATCAACGTTTTTTAGCTTAAGTTTTGAAAAATTCAAATTAATTTAAATTTGCACAAATGTATACTAAAAATATACGCTAAGCCTAACTGTTCACATTAGAAGCATGGTTCACATTAATGTTAAACATTTTTATATTCTCCTTTGTACATTTAGAAGTGCTCAATGTTTCCTTTTTCTCCTCTTTTAACTCCCACACTTTCTTTATCTCTGTGACAGTGGAGGACGTGCTAAGACCCAACAGGAGAGAGAACAATAGGTTCAACTCTCTTCACCCTCCTAATGGGTGAGCTTTTTTTACATTTAAAACAAAAGAATTGAATGTTTAAAGTGTTTTCATTTTCTATCACCGCATTCCTTAGTTTAAAAAATGAAATAGGAAAGGAGATGAGAAGTGTATTTGTAATAGACAAAAAAGCAATTGCCCTTCTCAATCTGTGAAAATGTTCTATTCCTACTCACATAACGTGTTCAATAAAACTTCACCATCCAGCAGTCAAAAGTTAAAGATCTTTTTCATTGATTACAATCTCATATTCTTAGAAAACTAAACTTTTCATTCTCTGTTCATCTCTAGTTATTCTGCATAGAGAAGGGTTTTGTCTTTTTCCACACATGGTATTATAACTAAACAGTCTTATTCTGCGATGTTGAAAAAAAATTTACTGTTGACTTCATGTATATTCAAGTTGCTCAATGAGGATTGCCTGAATACCAGAAGAGAACACTTGATCTTTGTTCAGAGTTAAGGTTTATTGCAGTGATATTTATGTATGCATTTTCCCCAAAATAATAAATTAATTTGAGTCAAATACTATGCTTTCCATGGCTTGGGGGAATTTGATTTAGTGACTTGAGCCACTGACCTGGTAAAAAATCTATAGAAACATCTGGTGCCGTGAAATAAAAGACACTAATACAATGAACACTCATTTTCCCCCGGATGCCTGTAGTAAACCATATTCATTATTGCTATGTTAAATGATTATATGTCTTGAGTTTTTCTCTACCCCCACCTCCAGGAACTTTAGTAATGGATATATACTAACCCATACAGAATCCACCTGATTTATGACTAGGTTGCAAAAGCTGCTGGACATTTGGTAAAAATGCAAAATTTTCTGAGTGCTTTGCCACCCATACACAAAAAGTATTAAATATTTCTCTGCATGCTCACTACCATGTGGGAAGTGTTATGCAGCATACAGATTGTCTTGAGTTCTTACTTATAAGAAAGTTGTCTGTTTGGTTTTTACCTTCTTGTCTATGTTTAGATTGTCAGTACCAGGTAGTGAAAGTGAAAGCAGAATGGAAAACGGACAGGAATGTCCTTTGGGATCCCTGCAAATAGTTATACGCATTGATATTGCATAGATGGTAGTTGTCACCTTTTATACCGTGAGTCCACTTTGGATAGTGTGTCAGAAACAAGACAGAGGTCATATTGCTTAAAGCCTATTGTGAGCATAAATGGTAGGGAAAAATCTAGCCCATAAATTGGCAAATTAACCCCTGCCATGCTTTAATAATCTATAAGATGTTTTAAGCTGAGCAAAATGGATCAATTATGTTTTCCTTACCATAAATTTATGAGCTGATACTCTATGATGAATTTAGGTCAGGATTTCAAAATGACTCCTTTTTAAAATAAAGCTTTGTCTGTCTCAGTGTTCTATTTGCCAAGTACACGTAGGCCCTCCCCTTATGTTAGGATGAGATCTTGTAAGCACCGTAAACAAGAGATTACAGAGATCTCCAGCTTAAACGGAAAAGGGAATCAGTATTAGCCTCCCTGGGAGTGAGGAATGGTAAGGAAGGGGTTACAAGGATCTCCAGGATTATGAATAGTCTAAATGAATTAGATAATTAAGAGACTCTTCTTGAATGTATCCTAGACACATCTGAAAAAAAAATCTTACAAATGAGAACTATGCATGCCTTAAGCTTAATTGTTATATATGAAAATCATTTTTGCCTGAGAATCCAAATGTCATGTTTGAAGACCAAAGGATAGCATTATATGCTTTGGAAACCCGATTTTGTAACATAGGACTTTGTTTCCTTCCTCGGAGAATCTTGGGTTCGCCCAACTGCGAAAAAGAACCTGAATGTGGCTATAGAATGATCTCTTGATCCTTGGACAAAACTGAGGAAAAAGTCTAACAAATGCATCGTTTTGCAGTAAATTAGATCAGATTTCCGCATCTCCGCACTCAGTCTGTGAGCTGACAGTTCAGTAAAATGTTCCCTTGTAAGGTTCGCCCTCTTAGGAAAAGGGGCAATAATTCATCATTAGGATTTCAGAGTCCAGGTGTAGATGGAAACTGATGGAGCCTCCAGCGAGGCAGGGAAAGTGCGTGGAAGAAGAAAATTTTATCTGAAGCCTAATTCCCTGGTTACAGCAGAGAATAATTAAGATAATATTGCTTCAAGAGTCCTTTAATGATTAAAAATCACATATGCAGAATCCATAAATTGGAGGGCAACAAATTGGAAGGCTGTAACGTCAGAGAACTGTTTTGTGCACATCGCAGTGGAACGTACGCTAGAGGCGGCTCGCCGGCCAGCCAGCCACCAGAGACCAGGACCATTCCAAGGACTTTGTTTAGATGCAACAAATCATTTGTCTGTTATTAACCTAGAGCTTGTAATTATGCAGATTGCCATAGATTTTCCTGGGCCTGGAAGTGAGATTGAGGGTTGTTCGCAGTATAGCAGGCAGCTCAGGGCTGGCCATGCATTACTGAACTTGCCACATTTATCATGTTGACTGATGGCAGCAGAAGCAGGTCTCAGGTCCCAGTGGTTAATGTAGTGGGTAATTAACTGTCATTTGCCTAGTAATAGGCTGATGATCAATGGTTTGTGTGGAAACAAATTCTAATCAGGTAGCTGATAAATGCTCAGCTAGCGAGAGCAATTGAAATTGGGGGAAACTATGTCCAGAATTTCAAAATGGCATTGTGTGGGCATGTTTATGAGGTGTAAGCAAACCGCATAGTTCCTAAAAACCGCTTTCTCTCCCACCAGCCACATTTTGTATCCACAAGTGCACCCGTATGCACGGAATAAAGAACTTCTTAAGATTTCCTTATTTCTCCAAGATACAATGAAAGAGCAGGTGGGACAAATGGCACGTGTGAGTGACGTGACTCCTGAACGGATCGTGCAAAGCGCCCTGAAAAGTCAACGTCAAGTGTTAGAACGGCCGAAAACATTCTGCTTACAAAAGAACAGGATGAAAGCTTCAGCTTGGGGGGGGGGGGGGTTTCATTTGTAACGATGCCAGTAGGAGATGTGAGATGTTGCATTTTCAATGAAGTTCTTTTTAGAGAAAAATTATTTCCTAAGATACGGATTGTAAACGGAGAACACGCCTGTCATTAGAGTTATGCTCCTTTACGGATGCACGTGAAAATGTCTTAAAAATTCTTTCAGGAAACCTGCAGCTAACAATTGCAAATTTGGTTTTCTTAAGTGGAACCCTTCCTTCCCCTTTTGTCAAGGGCACGCATTATACTGGCACTTACGCTTTCTGCCCTCAAGGCGCTTGTGTTCTTCGAGAGACAATCTAAAAAAACATGAGCGTGAACGTTTATTACACGTTTTGCCAGACTCTGAAAACCATTCTCACAACTCTTTCCAACAATTATCATTAGCCTGGTAAGAAGAAATGGTTCTAAACTTGAAGATGAATACGCACGCCTGAAGCAAAGGCCTGTCTTTGGAGTATTTAGAAAGTAGGAGAAGAGAAACTTTAGCATATTTGTGCGTAATCCTTAAATTCAATAAAATGAAAGACTGAGTTTTTTAAAGTACATTTTTATAAATAAAATGAGTTTTCTCCATAGCACCTTTGAATTCATTAGTTTAGAACTGCTTTTAATTTGGTCTTTCCCATGAGAGCCATTATATTTTTCTCCTGTCAGCCTGATGCTGGAGAAAAAAGAAAACTGGCAGATGTGGTGTTTTTCATCTAGTTTGCTTCCTAGTTAAAAAGTGCATTAACTGCTATGCACAGAATATTATTTATAATAACTCTTCACTACCATTAACAACTTTAAAGAAACTTGGTTTAAATATTGCCAGTGCAGATGGATAAAATATTTTATTCCTTCCCATTGTGCAACTGTAGAGACACTTTATTTTATACTAGTTTTTAGGTCATTACAACAACTATTTTCAGGAATCTGTAGCAAATAGGATTTTTTGAAATACGTTTTTCCAGGACAGTTCCAGTGGTTCTCTCGATATATTATGTTTCAACTCCTGGTCGAGCTATATGTAGTTTACAGCCTCATTTAGTTTAATGTGCTAGTTGAATAACATAATCATAGCTATAACTATGGTATAGGGCCATAAGGTGCCTGCACCTCTAATGTTTTTTGACTATTTAAATGGCTGGTTCATAAATGTTCTTTTCATAATAATGGCAAACCTAGTAGCTAGATGTCAGAAAATAGTCATTCAAATGGGTTTCTTTTGCAACTGAAGTGTTTAATATGTAACATTAAGATCAAAGTTACGTTACAAAAATTTCTATTTACTGCATATTCTATCCAGTAGAAGATTTTTGCTGTGAATTCACTCCCAAGGACTTGTTTGCATGCGGTTATGTAAGCTTCCTAATGTATTTGTCTTTTCCTTTTCTTCTCAAACGAGATGTGATTTTCATCAAGAAAGGTCAGCTGAGTATGTAACAGAGAAGAATACTTATGTGTCTGCCTTGGATAAAACTTGCTTGTGTACACCATAAGGCATTGTGTATTGATAGCTTTGCAAGGTGTACTGGCACCTTCTCTAGACATCATCTCAGATCTCCTTGTAAGAGTTTGAAAAAAAAAATGTTTATTGTTCCAGGCTTTTCGGTGTAACGGGAAACTGTGCCGCCTGTAGTAAGCTCATCCCTGCCTTTGAGATGGTGATGCGCGCCAAGGACAATGTTTACCACCTGGACTGCTTTGCATGTCAACTTTGTAATCAAAGGTAAGTGGATTTCATTCTGGTGTCTAAAAAATAGCAAACCTCTTTTTGCCAGTTTATTTAATAAGTGGGAATTATATATTTTACTTAAAGCAATTAATCTCAGCATTTTTGTTTTCTGCAAACATTCATCTGGTGCCAGAGACAAAACCGCTGGGGGAAATGTCTTAAAACTATGCTTCTTCTACCTGTGGGAAGAACATGCTAAAGCAGGATGGGAAAAGAAATGAAGACACTGCTACCAACTTTAGTTTTCTTATTATTTGTTCTTTATTGTTTTTCTTCTTTAAAAATTATGTCTAAAAAAATCTCTAAAATTTACTTTAAAACTTTAAAAAGATCTTTAAAGTCTTCTGCCTTTTTAAAAGTAGGCTTCATAATCTTCACTTCTTTCGTACTATGAACAAACACATTTGCACTGAGGCAAATATACAGGAACTTGTAGGACATGTCTATCTTCATCTTATTTTTCCTATTTATTGCTGTCCTCTCTCTTGATTTCTTATCTTGAATTTTAACCTTGTTTTATATGTACTTTTAAAGTTGCTTTAGGTCTCTTTGGGAATGAGGCCAGATATAGCAGAGAATTAAACACTTATCAGCATTGGACAGGCAGCATAGGCAAATGGGAAGAGTATTGCACAAGGAATCTAGAAACCTAAATTCTACTCTGGACTTGGCCCCTCGCAAGATATATAACCATCCATCAACCATTTTAGCTCTCCCAACCTCAGTTTTCTCATTTACAGCAAAGGGGAGCTGGATTAGTCAATCTCAGAGAACTCTTTCATCTCAAAGCATTATCACTTTATTCCATTTTTTCTTCTTGAAAGCTATAAGTTTTATTTCCAGTGGGAATGTTGTACCCCTGATACCTGTTTTATATGATAAATACAGAGGATATAAGAATATGAAACTGTGCGTATTAAAATATATTTAAAAACCTAGTACACCTGGGGGATGTTAATGAAAATATATTCAGTGTGAGTGTGACAATAGCTGGACATAGTATATAATCAAGATATATTAGTTTCGCCAAGTTCTCAGTTACTATAATTTGCCCTGCTTTCCTACTCAGTGCAGCATCTTCTTATGAAATCCTGTATAAAGTAGTAGAAAGAACATGATGTTTACAGGGAGAACTGGATTCAAATTCCAATGCCATCGTATATTAGCTATGACATCTTGAATCTGTTACTTAATCTCTGAGATTGGTTTCCACCCCCTGACAGTGGAGACACTAATACCTATCTTACAGATTTTGAAAATTAAATAAAATCCTTTTATTAAATACCAGAAACACAATTGCCTCTAAAAAAGAAGTGCTTTTGTTTTGATACTTATTGTAATTTACTCAATTTACTCTTACCAAATATTATTCCATTAACTTGGTTTTTACACAAGATATATATCTCAAAAAAAAGATATACCTCAATAATATTTCCTGCTAGATGTAGATGTTCAGATAGTGCCCAGTATACCTTACAATATCTAATTCATCCAGGAAATAATTTAGGAAGTCATGATACAACACCTTGAGTCTTCCCAACAAACTTTTGTAATCAAAGCAGGTTAACTCAGTCTATGGTGACTTTTAGCAAAAAACAAATTGGCAAATATATGTGTAAGGGTATAGATACATGGACATAAGTATCCACACATTCATATAGACATTTATATGCATGTGTACATGTATGTATATATATTTTAAAGAGATATAAGTAGTAAATCTAGAATACTTCTGTCTACTTGTCATATTGATCTACTAACAATTCAGTTATCTTTATGCAAGAACAAAATTTACTGCTTTTCTACTTATAAAAGAGTACATATTCATGGTGGAAATTTTAGAAAATAGAAAAAGGCAAAGAATCATATTGTCCCATATCTCAGTATTCTAAAAGAAGGTATTTTAATATTTTGGTGTATAGCTTGCCATATGTTTTCTTATGCACATATGACAAATGACATTATAGCATATATTTTATAATACATTTGAGCTGTTTAAAGGAAAAAAAACAGGAAAGAAGCCTAATGTTTGATATTTGAACTTTTTCATTTAATGTAGTATGCTTTTTCACTTGCTCTTACAAATTCTTTTAAGATATTTTAAGCTTTCTCATGTTCTGTTTTATGAATGGAGCTTCATATTTTAAATCGGTCCTCTATCATCAGATGTGTAGGCTATTTCTTCACATTTTCCTATTATCAATATTGTCAACATAATATGGACTTTATAAACAAAGAGTATTCAAGCCTGTGTCGGGATAAATTCACAGGATCACAATTAATCAGACAAAACATATAACTGTTTAAAGGCTTATGTTATATGTTGTTAAAATGCTCTCCAGAACAGTTATACCAATTATTCTCACACCAGAAATGTAAAAGCTATGTATTCTTACATTCACTCTAACATTGGGATGATTACTTAAAAAGAAATCCCTGTCACCCTGAGGGATGAAAGATGGTATCCCATTATAATTTTTAATTAGTATTTATTTGATTTCTAGTGGCCCTTTGATATTTCTTCTTTTAGGGAACTGCTGTTTATGCCCTTTGTCCATTTTTCCATTAGGGCAGGCTCCCCTATTTTATCCATGTTCTACACAGAAAATTAAAACATCACTCAAGTGCTAAGCCCAGCCTAAATTCTATTATGATGCAAAGTAATTGTAGGTTGTTAATGCTATTTACAAATCATATATCAATTTTATTTCACCATTGAAATAAAAAGTTGCATTCACAATTAAGTCTATCTTCTCCGTAGAACTCAGTCAAGTAAGACAAACACTCCTAAATTCTGACTCTAAAACTGTTCACATTCTTATTGCTGCAAAATACTATTCTAGTATCATTATTAAAGTACCTAATATATTTCCGTGTTCGCTTCATTTATTACATGCCATAATGGCACTGCATATCTTTAGTGCTGGTTATGCACAATTAGCACTTAGTTATTGTCTTGTCACTTCAGCCCCTACAAGACAAACTTCTTTAATGCAAGAAGTCAGCTAATCTCCATCAGTCAAGCAGAGCAGACAAATTTTGTTACTCTGAATACAGAAGGTTTTCAACACAGGAGATTTTCTTTTTACTTTGACATTTGCTGGGGAAATCCTCTCCAATAAAGCCGTATGCCACATGACTATACTTCCAGTAGCCAAATCATTATGATAGCATTGCACATTTTCAAGTAAAACACAAAGCAAATAGGTAATTTATAGGCACTTTCCCTTAAGCAAACTTTATTGACATCTGAAATTGTGGCATTATAAATGCTTATGAATTTTATTTAGCAGTCATTTCATCTTCACTTGTAAATCAAAACATCATTAAGATCTAAAGCATTTCTGAATGTTTCAAAAATGGTAGTAAAAATAATTTTTCAGGATTGGTTGTTTCTTGTCCTTACCCTCTTTGCTCTTTTTTTTTTTTTTAGATGGGTATGGCTAAAGATATGAACCCTGAATTAAAAATCTAAAGTTTTTCTATATTAAGAGAAGCAGAGGAATGCTATTTTGAGAATCTTGGATGATCACTTGAATCTCACTCAGAACTGGAAAATTCTGGGTAATAGGTTAATATCTTAAAGGTGACTAAGCCCCTCCTCCTTAGAAAATTCTGTAAAACTAAATGATGGTTGTATAAGAAAAGGAAAGAGCCATGTTCGTTTGTAAGGAAATTGCCTCAAATACGTAGGACCGTATAATCTTAAAGAATAAAAGCACTGGGCTAGGCTCTGGAAAGAAAGATGAATAAAAACTAATTTCTCTCTTAGAGATACTCAGAGCTATGGGATAGATGAAATATCAAAGACTAACAGAAGAGTATCATCAATGATAAACAGATCTATACAGAGGGAAGAGAGGTCTGTCCATGTTGAAGTCTTAGAGAAGCATCAAAGGGCTGATGTGCCAGGTTTTAAAAGAGAACTTCCCAGGACTGTTTGGAATGTAGGCATTATGTCTGGTGGGGGTTAGGGAAGATGAGGAAGCCAAGGAGCAGTGAGAAAAGGGTTCTCCAGACAGATGGAGCATCATGCAAGGCATGGAAGTGTGAAAGCATTTAATGTGTGCAGGAAGTGAACAGTAGCTCAGAGTGCTCAGAGATTAGAGTTTGGAAGGGATATGGAAAGGGAGGGAATGGCATGAGGATCAGGAGGAGGTAAAATTGGAAAGGTAGGAAGTCAATGAATTAAAGTCAAAATGAACACAAATTCAAATTATCTAAAATACCATTGTTACTTAAAGCTAGTTGGTACTGGAATAAATCTGCCTTAACCAATATTTACTGACCACCCAGCTCAAGTGGTGGTACAATCTATGGTGGTATTTCAAAAGGTTCAAAAGAAACATAACTCATAGGCACTTACCTCAGCACTGCAGTCCAGATTGGGAGACTTGTTACCTATTCATGAGAACATCTGAAATACCAAAGTAAATGATACACCGATAAATAAGTGCTTTGGGAAAGATCAGAATGAGTTGGCATGGTCAGGGAATATTGATGGAAAGAATGGAAACTAAAGAATTTTTAAAATTTAGGGGCACCTGAGTGGCTCAGTGGTAGTGTCTAGCTTCGGCTCAGGTAGTTGATCCCAGGGTCCTGAGATCGAGTCCCACATCGGGGTCCCCATAGAGAGCCTGCTTCTCTCTCTGCCTATGCCTCTGCCTCTCTCTCTGTGTCTCTCATGAATAAATAAATTAAAAACCTTTTAAAAAAGAATTTTTATAATTTAAACAGATGGAAAAAAGGGGAGAAACAGTTCTGGTTAAGGAATGGCTTAAACAAAGGTGAAAGAACTTTCATTAACAAATAATAATGACAACAGAATTCTTATATAGTGCTGATCGTACACCAGACCCTGTTCTGTTTTACATCTGCTCACTTAGTACTCAATATAATGAGGTACTATTATTAGCTTCATTTTACAGATGAAGTCACTGAAGTACAGAAAATTTAAGTAACTTGCCCCAGAGAACACAGGCAGAAAATGGTAGACTCAGAAATGAGAACCCAGACAGTCTGGGTTTAGTCTCTGGACTAAGAGCTGATAGGAGGGCCCTGGACTCTTTCAAGAGGGGTATTTTATTTCCTGACTGGGCAGATATAAATGGAAATAGATATGGTGAAGTTAAGCAAGGTAGACTTTGAATAATTTACAGCAGGGTTTGGGATGTGGGTAGTGTAAGTTGGTGCAGAATAAGTGATTAGGAATGAAGTATGTAATGAAAGCTGGACTGTCTTTGGGAGAAGCGAGTAAATGTGCTCACAGTTTATAGGGGTGGGATGTTAGGTATATAATCAGTACCTCTTACTGAAAACAAAGTACAGTATCAAAATCTTCATCTCTAGTAACTGAGGATGCTAAATAGAAAATAGAGACATTTGGAATATGGACTCGATCTCCTCGACCCCACCCCCCCCACCCTCCATTTTTTAGAATATTGTGGAACTAATTATAATTGATAGCCACTGACCTCAGGGATATAAGATGACTAAGTTAACATTTTCATTCTTAGAAAGGATGTGAACAGGAGGTTACAAATGGAGGCTTCTTTGCAGAGGCTTTGGATAACCTGCTTAAAACCACTCTAAGAAAAAACAAAACAAAACAAAAAAAACCACTCTAAGCCCCATATTTTATAAAGATGATTCATTAATTTTACTTATTTTCTATACTTCTCAAGTTTCTAAGACTGTATGAGTCCAATTAGAATCACTCCAAAATATCTGGAAATTATATCTATTATTAACTCCAAAACATCAAGATTAAATGACAGTAATCCGATTGGGCATCTTTTTATTACTTTATATACTTTTTTTTAATGGAGGCAAAATTAATTGAACTAACTACACCACAAGCAATTAGAATTAGATTCCAAGGAAGATTATTTTCAGGAATTTTAGCCTGTACTATTAACATATTTACAGTATCCTCTGGCCATCACTGCTTTTTTTTTTTTTTTTTTTTTTTTTTTAGATTTTATTCATCCATTCATGAAATACGGCAGGAGGGGGGGGGTGGGCAGAGACACAGGCAGAGGGAGGAGCAGGCTCCATGCAGGGAGCCTGATCCAGGATCATGCCCCAGGCCAAAGGCAGGCGCTAAACTGCTGAGCCACCCGGGCTGCCCCATCAGTGCTTCTATAGTATTTTTTTCTGCCAATGTTAAATCTCCTGAGAAGCTCATAACACTGAAAATTAGCCTTTCTCACAAAGTCAGTTATAGATTATCTTGTTAAGCATCTAACATCTGCATTGCTATTTCTCGTGTTTATATACAGAACCTTTTAAAGGAGTATATCAATCCAAGGGCTCCTGGCCCAGTTGGTTAAGGGACCAATTCTTGGTTTTGGCTCAGGTCCTGATCTCAAGGTCATGAGATTGAGCCCTACAATGGGCTCTGTGCTTAGCTCAGAGTCTGCTTGGGTTTCTCTCTCCCTCTCCCTTTGCCTCTCCCCCTGCACTCTCTTTCTCTCTCTCTCTTTCAAATAAATAAATAAATCTTTTTTAAAAAAGAGTCTATCAATCCTAATCACAAAGCAGTTATAATCTGCTTTAACCATAGTTTTCAAAACTGTTTTAAGGTATATGTGTAAGTGTGACATTTCTCACTCATGGTCTGTTTTGTCTTGACCTTTCGATATGAATTGAAATGCACATAAAATGTACTTTGTCCAGTTGACAACATTAGCAACAAAATATTTTAGGTAGGAATATTTTAGCTGAATCCAAACTTCTCATTGATGAATTACCAACCTCTCATTGAATGATAGGCAGACATTTTTTAAAGTTATGCAAAGGAATCTTAGCAATACAAAAAAAACCTGTATTAACTTCATAGCCTTATGCTTTACTGCCTTCACATAAAGCATGGGTCTTGAGGCCAAAGAGACCAGAGTCCCTTTCCTTCCTCTATCATACACATTCTAGCTATGGAGCCTTGGCAGATTTTTTTTTTTTTAATTCTGGGAGGAAGCCTTAGGTTTTTCATCTGAAAAAGGCAATAATAATATTTACTTTCTCAGCTGAACATAAGGAATAAAAGTGATCATGCATATACATGCTTAGCATTAGCACATGGTAAGTACTGTGCAAAAGGTGGCTATTTTATTTATCCATACTCCAAACATTGAGGTAAGACTTCACATACTTCATTTCTACTTTTTACCACACACTTAGAAAAGTCACTTACATTAAAGATAAGAAAAAAATGAAGTTTCATCTTCAGTATCTTAAGTGGAAGGTTGGGATTTGAACTCTATTCACTGCAATATACCTCTCAGCCTCTCATATACTTCTTATTTTAACATCCCTACAATCCAGTGATGTAGCTGTTTTATCTTACCCACACAGAGTTGACTCAGAGAAAGTATGAAATGTACCCTATAACTTGCATTGGGTAGCATCAGGGCACAAGATTTGGTCCCCAGGCTCTTGGTTCAATACTTTTCTTATGATAATTACCCTGAATATATTAATCTGCAAACAAAAATTATCTAAACTCCAAGACTTCTGAAGGTAAGAATGATGTAACTTCACATGACAAAAAAAAAAATGTTTTATTTGGGGTACTTGGCTGGCTCAGTTTGTAGAACATGTGACTATCTCTGGGTAGTGAGTTCAACCCTAAATAGAGCATACTTTAAAAAAAAAAAAAAAGAGGGTTTCTTTTTTTATTGTGAATAGAATTTTGGGACTTGTTGGAAAATTAAAGCAAAATTTTAGACAATATGGAGTTGAATGAGTATTTCCAATTCAGTTGATTTTTAGAAAGAAAAAAAATTAGTAATATTAGCTAGAACACAAGAGTATTTGTTGAATTTATTTATTTTTATGTGCTATTTTATCATTAGCTTTATGGTTCAAATTAATTTCAACAGTAATAGAAATGGAAAGTTTTGAAGAGTAATGAGATATATACTACATGCTATTTTATGGAATTTCACATAAAATATATATATCTAATTTGGCTACTTAGTCTGTCCAACAGAAGAAATATTACCTTTTTTCATCATATCTTAATGATCAGGATAATCTACAAAAACTGGTTTACTCACACACCGCTTTTTAAGCACAATAGTTAAAGTTTATAGTTAGCAACTAATAAAAAGAAGATATACTTAAGGTTCAAACTTGAATGTTCATTCTATCCAATAGCCCTGACCACAAACTCCAGGACTTCAAGATCAACGCTTACTTTGTACTTTCAATCCAACATCATCAGCAGGCAGTAATCCTGGGGAAAAAAAAAGTAAATTCCACAAATAAACAGACCAATCTTCCTTTAAGAGGAAAGCTAATTCTTTTCAATCTACTTTTTTTATTACACTATTTTCCCCTCTATCTACTTAGCTAGAATAAGGATAAATTTCCAAAGCTACCCAGTTGGAAAATAAATAGGTTCACTGTTTGTCTAGCATTCCAATCTTTGCAAATGTAAATCAGTCCAACTGCTCCTCATTTAAACCTTCAACTTCACAAAACATTAAAGGGTTGCTTTCACTACACAATTTAATCTATCCACTAAGATTTCTGCTTGAACATCATTCGAAATTGACTATCTGATAAAGAGAGACCACTATCAAAGTTCAGTGAGGTCAACTTGTATAATTACAAGTAGTTTTACTGGGTCAACTCTACTAGACACTGCTGTTTGAAGGTTAAATTGTTACAATTAAAAATATATACAGATCTCCCCAGAGTTACTTTATTGTTAAATGTACTGGAAACAGCACGAGCATTTATTTCTGACCTTAATTGTGTCCAAAGTGTCACCGCTGGGAAATTATACAAAAAGAGCACTTATTAAAAACATTACAATCTTGCACATTAAACAATGCTTTATAGAATAAAATACATAATTAGCTACTGGAAACTAGTTTATTTATCACATCAATATTAAGAAGTTCATTCAGGTTATTCCCTTTGGTTTAATTGGAAGTGCGCTAAAAAATGACATTTAATATTTCATAGTTGGTGAACTTGCCACAAACAAAGGAATATGGCCAAGCATCAGAGTCTGATGCTAAAACAACTTTTTCTTCAGAACAATCACTTCCAGATTACTAGAATTTAATCACATTTTAATAACAGAGAGTAAAAGGAAGCTTTAAATGAGAAGCTTTAAAATGGGCCACTTTCTAATTGTTTGATACATTTTAATGCCTTTTACTTTTTTTTTAATAAAGTGAATAAATGGCCAATGGGAAACCTTCTGGAATCACTGCAATGAAATATTAACATTCTTTCTTTTATTTTAATGACTGTAAATATAGATCAATTATTCTTTTTTTCTTTCCAAAGTTGTGATAAACATCACCTCTGCTGCTCGAGGTGTTCTTCTTGATTTTCCTGTGCTGTTTATATATAAATGTAGGATTTCAAATTTTGTGTGCAATGTTTCATTTAATGACCTATATGGTTTAATTTCAACAATAAAGGTAACTTTCTAAACTAAGCTTTCAAACTCAGGGAAGTACCATGTGACATTATTTTGAGGAAAAGAAATCTTCAAATCTGTAGATTGGAGTGAAATGATCTTAACACATTTTATTTTTTAAAATATTTCAGATTTTGTGTTGGAGACAAATTTTTCCTAAAGAATAACATGATCCTCTGCCAGACGGACTACGAAGAAGGTTTAATGAAAGAAGGTTATGCACCCCAGGTCCGCTGATTTATCAACATCACCCCATTAAGAATACAAAGCACTACATTCTTTTATCTTTTTTGCTCCACATGTATATAAGAATTGACACAGGAACCGACTGAATAGCGTAGATATAGGAAAGCAGGATGGTTATATGGAATAAAAGGCGGACTGCATCTGTATGTAGTGAAATTGCCCCAGTTCAGAGTTGAATGTTTATTATTAAAAAAAAAAGTAATGTACATATTGCTGGATTTTTTTGCTTGCTATTCGTTTTTGTGTCACTTGGCATGAGATGTTTATTTTCGACTATTGTATATAATGTATTGTAATATTTGAAGCACAAATGTAATACAGTTTTATTGTGTTACCATTTGTGTTCTGTTTGCTTCTTTGTATTGTTGCATTTAGTACAATCAGTGTTTAAACTTACTGTATATTTATGCTTTCTGTATCTACCAGCTATTTTAAATGAGCTGTAACTTTCTAGTAAAGAATTGAAGAGCAAATCTCACTAATGATACACATATAGATAAAGCAAGTCTATCAACATTAAAATACTAAAAAAAAAAAAAATGAAGACACACACAAAGCATTTTAGCAACATCCACTATTATTGCCACTATGATTTAGAGTCTATCAGTGTTCTCATTATAACCCCCGATTTTCAGGGGGTTAAAGATCAGCTTTAAAAAATGCATAAAAATTTCATCTTAAAGCACTTTCATTTTATACCAACGTGAAAAGTGCCATTTTTAGAATAACTTTAAAGCTTAGCAGTTATCCTTTTAATATCCTTTGTGTGTGTGTGTGTGTGTGCTCTTTACCTACACAATGGCTTTGTTTTATTGTTTTTTTTTTTTCCCAGCCATTTACCCCTTATGTAAACTAGTGCCTTTGGGTATCATGTAAAATTTTTCCAAAGGGTTACTTTAGACAAATGTTACCACAATTATGAGATAATTTTAAAACGATAAACTTCTTGTACAAATTTTGCCCAGATTTCTCCCTAAGAGCTAAGGGTTTAATAACTTTATGGCTTGATAAATTTCTGGCACTGAAAGGATTTGAGTGCAAATCTACTGAAATTATGATAATGCACACTGAAGCTATGATGATATTTGAGTAGTGAGCTTACTTTTGATCAGAGCAACATAGTTCTCACAGAATCTTCTAGAAGAAAAGAAACAAAGGGATTGTCAAAGAGCTGAGAACTGGTAATTATATATTTTTCTGTATTTACCTGACACTTATTTTAATGTTCAAAAGTGAAGACTTTAAAAGTTTGACGTGTCTTACTCTTACTGCCTTCTTTAAGTAGTTACCATCTCAGAATATATCACACTTAAGGCTGAAATCTGTCATTCCATTTTTTCAAGGGTGAAAAATTATTCCCTTACCAACATGATAGATGAAAAAGAAGAAAGTCTTCTAGAAACAAATTATGGAGACTGTTATTTCAATTACAATTAAGGAAATAAAAGTAAGACTATGATCCCTTCTTCTTCTGGGTTGCTCACACTTTGCTTCTTTGCTTCTGCTCCCTCTAATAGAACTACTTTTCAACAAATCTAATTCGACACAGGCACAGTGAAGCATATTTTTGCTAGAGCAAATTTAGTGCTGTGGGATTTCTTTTTTATTTTTTGTTTTTTTTTTGTTTTTGGATCACTTGTATAGGAAACAATATTTCCCTGTGTTATTTGCATACATATTTTGTCCTGCCAATATATGCATTGCAGATGAAAATTAAATATGATACCTGAATTCTTGGTTTGGGGCCAAAATATTAAACAAAATAATGCTGGTGTGGATTTGAGTTGTTTTAAAACAAAGCTTTATTATGGACATGCATGTGAATCTGGATGTTGCTTCTCATTTTTACGAAATGGTTCTGTGAAAAGTGAATGATACGTATTTTTACAAATACTTCACGGTTAAGAATGTTCAAGTCACATGTCCCCCAGATTTGAGACATACCGAAGAAAAGAATTTCAAAAATAGCTATTTGGGGCCCATAAAATAATTATTATTTTAGCCTTAGAGTCTTACATTTGTTTCATGATAAGACTTGCATAGCCAAAAACAAAACCAAAACCAAACAAAAGGTGGGGGGATAGGGTGTGTGGGGGGGATAAGTGAAAAGTGGTTTTCTTAAGCAGCCCTTTGAGTCCCCATTAGGAAGTGTCTGAAATTATCGTGGATGTGAAATTGTAATTGCCAGTATCTTTCTCAAATGATCTTTGTTAGATTTAAATGGTTTGCATATGTTTATCAATATGTTAAAATACTTGTAAATTGGGAACAAACTTCTCTTAGCTTCTGGAAGCTGTTCAATTAGCATTGCTGCCCAAAAACCAAACAAGTTTTTATTGCCTTTTCTTTTCCCAAATCCTTCGGGAATTAATTCTTATGCTTTTTACTCCAAACAAAATTACTCACCTGGATTGAAGATTAAGGCCTTAATCTCTTTAGATTATCTCTAATCTCCATGAAATTGTGCAACCAGAGAGAAATGGGTTATTTTATAGCTAATTGCCCATAAATAGTAGCATTTTTGACCTGAAGTACTAAGCTAATTGTCTTGACTACGCAAAGTCCCCGAATTGTTGTCAACTTTCCCCTTTGTGTTGTGTAGCCCTGACGCCACCTAGCTTGTTGCCGGATGCCTCCAGTAGGACACCTCTAAAGGAGCTCTGATTTCTCAAGCAGTGAAAGCTCCCTTCCTAACATGCATCTCAGAGAGGCTGCCTACGATGAGGGACCAGGCACCTCCACTCCTCTAGAGTGCTGGCTGAGTTTAAAAGCTGACCAGTGTTTGTAATTTCACTTTCATCTTGCTTAATAAATATCTGCTGGATTCTTTCATTCATTCATTTTTTATATTTGGATTTATGTTTTTAATAAAAGGGTATTTACTCTTTGATTGCGCTTAATTGGCAAAATCTAAGATGATATCTAGAAAGTGTACATGGAGTCCTCTTGAAAAAAGGATAAAAATGTGTAAGGACATTTACTTTGAAAAGATAAATCATAACAAGCATAGACAGAGTACCTCAAATACTTTCTCCAAATGTTACTTTTAGGATCTCTGAGCTAGGTAGTTTATTGTTACTTACTTTTGTGGGGAAAATAAAACTGTCAAAAATGAAGGTAGCAATCGCTGGGTGTAATCTTGTACATTTACACAAATTTCAAGTGATCTTCCTGAAAGCAACTGTGTTGCTGTCATCAGACAAAATTTCAAATTTCCTATTTTCTGTATAATGAATTAAAACAAAACTTCAACTAAATCCTACATTTTCAGGGAAGAGATGTTGCGCCTAAAATGAAACAGGGTGCTGAAAATTATATCTGTGGTAAAACATACCGTGCACAAGTGGTTTCCTTTTAACTATCACTTAAAGCAAGCTACTCTCACCAGACACTTAAACAATTTCATAGAAATGATATAGGCCAAACATGTTTAGCGTTCACTTCAGCAAGTTGCAAAAACAATCTGCATGTTCATTGTAATAGGCCATTAGCGTAGAATACAATTTTAGCAAAAGCCTTTTGATTACTACTGTTTCTTAAAAACACCATTATAGATATTTCTTAAGTGTGATTTTAATGTGAGTTAAGGTAATAGAGAGCAAAATATTAATATGGGCATTATTTCAGTTGACATTAATTGAGTACCTACTATGTGACAGGCCTTGCCCTGAGCATTCAGATAGCCCCCTATTGGGCTGAGTTAGGTCCTCCATATGCCAGAAAATTTATTGTATCTGCGCTGGTTTATACTCATCTCCAACCTACAAATAATGAGCACACAGAAGCGATACTATTGTCTACCTATTCAGCATGTCACTGGTATGAAGGTCCCAGAAAATATCTCAAGTAATCAATGTGTTCAGAGAATTATCTCACACAAATTACTCATTAACTCAATAGCACATAATAAAAAAGAACATCAATTAATTAATGAGTCACCCTCAGATCACTATGATTACAACAGAGCTCTGTTGAAACAGCGGTTATAAATGGAGCTGCCTCTCTTTATTCATTGTTTGCAATTGGCCCATTATTTGGCTGAAACCAGTGTCATATTTAACACATGCCTGTAGGTAATTGTGTGATTAGTATCATAAATGAAAAATTCAGAAAGTGTAGTGCTTAGAAGACCTTATAAATGGTCAGAAAAATAAAGACAACTCTCATTTATACTTTGGCTTCCTTTGAGGCCAAGCTGTTAGAAGGATGTTATCTATCTAAAAGATACACTTTTACATTTAAAAGACTTTCATGCTATAAGCTTTAGCTGCTAAAACAGAAGTAAAATTTACAATACTGTAGAATACACATAAATTAATTTCAGTAACTTTTTACAAAGACTAAAATATGTGTGACCAGTTTTGTAAAAGTGTTGGTACCCCAAAAGAACAGTTTTGCTTTTGGAGGGCCTGGCTTGGGAGGCTGTGTGGAAATTGACAACAGTAGGGTAAGAGAGTAAAAAAAAAAAAAAAAAAAAAAGCCAAATATTATATACAAAGTCACCAACTAAAGTTTCCCAACTATCTTGGTAAAAGCCATTCCAATAAGCTTATAGAATAATTATAACAGTTCCCTTAGGTAAGTAAGAAACATCTGTTGGTAACACATAGCAGGTGTTAACAATTACACATACTGAAATTTTTAAAAACGTTTTTAATTAAAAGAATTCTGTTTTCTGAAAAGAAGAATATGTTAAATTCAAAGATACTCCTGTTTTGAGCGTGCAGACCACGTAATGCGCAAAATTGTAAAGCCCAAATCATCTTGGATCAACTAGGTTTCGTGTTTGGTTCAGATCATTGCAATCAAAAGTGAATTGGAATTCACTGCACTTTTTACACAACTTGTATTCTGGGCTGAGAAGCTGAATACTCATGAAATTGGTATAGCAGAGCTGATTACAGAATATTTTGGCTGTATGGGCAAGGTGGTTGCCATTAACTTACCAAATTTAGTGGACACAGTACAAATGAGAACAAGAAACATTCAGAAAAATAGATTATTCAAATCTTTTTCTAACCCTACTTCTGCAGAAGACTTTAAATCACCTAAAACAGTCCATTTGTAACATGTAACTTTATCATATGGCCCATCTTCAATAGCTTTTAATAACAGCTGATGTTCACTGAACACTTACCATGTATCAGGCGGTTTTCTATGCACAAGTAATTTCCACAACACCCCCTGTAACATAGATACTATTACCCCTATTTTACAGATTTTAAATAAAAGCAGAGAGAGGTTGCTTAACTTGTCCAAGGTCTTAGCTTGTAAATAGATTTAAACACAGGTTTTCTGGCTTTCGGACTTAACCACTGTACTATATAATCTCTTACAGCATTGTCGGCATCATCATCACCACCACCACCACCATTTTTATTGTTTTCTAGCCAAGAGTTGGAAGTTATCTGTGCTTGGTTGAAAATCACAAATATTTCAGAGTTAATGTCATCATTAAAAATGATAATTGGGAATGAGAGTGATCATATCTTCCTAGATGCATCTGCTTGATAGCTCTTTCTTTTTACTACACCATGAAGGGATATATCTGAGCCACAAAACTAGGATAGCTTGAATAGGGGATCCCTAGTATAGGAGGATCTGGCACAGGAGGTAGTCAACATAGACTTGAGAGTTAGAATAGAAAGCTGCAATTTTCTAAATCAGGATAAACATGCCACGAGGAGATGAGGCTTGAATCTCCAAAGTCAAGATAATATAAATCAATATGTTATGTGTCTTTGATATTTTCTAATTTGCTTCCATAAGATGATATGGAAACAAAAGTCAGGATAGCAATATATGTCAAGCTATGTGTTCCCTGGTCTAAAATACTCAAGCTATACAGGATGCTGGCTTTAGGTCAGCTGTCAAATAGTTTAGGAACTCTCTAGTCTCAGAATTCTGATGGCAAGCCAGGCTAAAGCAATGGTGGGCAAAGCAGTCATCCTTAACATAGACCAGAGCAAAATGCGATGATTTACAACCTCAGATTGCCACAGGAAAATTTCCAAGATGTTCTTCCTTCCACTACATCAACTGCTTGCCGCCATCACCACAGCATCACTTCCAGATATTGGGGTCCTTGTGAGCCTAAATCATTCCAGACGAAGTCCTCTTCAAGGGAATTTTCACCCCACAAGAGTGTTCCTGTATTTTTCAGTATATAATTAGTACTTAAACTGAAGTGCTTAGAGTGGTGATAGCCACAGAGGAATATGGTTAAATGCATCACATAAACAATGTGCTTGTCTTCAATCTAGAAGGCACAGTGGAAGCCCCAGGAATTTTTAGTTGCATGATAGCTTAGGTTAATTACAATATGACTTGCTAAAATATCAGTAAGAACATCAAGTTTTTCCCAGCCCACATATGGTGGGGCAGCTATGTTTTCCGAAAGTTAATCTTGACCTGGAACACCTATGTTCTTCTTAGAGTATACTCCATTTACTGTGAATAGTAGCAAGGACTAGAAGACACAAAAACCACATCTGAGGTGGAAATTGGTACATGAGAGAAAATATGAGAGAAAAATTACATATGGGAGAAAATATAGGAGAAAAGGTTGCCTAGAAAGAGCCAGTTAACTTCATAAAAAAATCATTTAGCATCTACTATGTGCATGGCAGCACACTAGGCATTTCTAAATTTTTTCTGCCTGAGAGATTTTGGGTGTGTGAAAAAGTTGCTCACTGCTATTTATACTTTGTTTAATGCCCAATTTATTAAACATACAACTCTAACAAATGCAATTTCTCTAAACATTTGTACACCATTTAAACAGCTAATAAACCAAAACTTGTAAATTTAATAAATCAGATCCAACCATTTAAACATTGATTAGAATCTTAGTCAAATTTTTCTAAACATTTCAATAAAATCCAATCTAATGAGCTTCAAGGATTTTAAAACCAGACAAATTCTCACGTTGAGCCAAACATTTTTCTTTAAAAAAGTTTAAACCTGGGGAACCCTGGGTGGCGCAGCGCTTTAGCGCCTGCCTTTGGCCCAGGGCGCGATCCTGGAGACGCAGGATCGAATCCCACATTGGGCTCCCGGTGCATGGAGCCTGCTTCTCCCTCTGCCTATGTCTCTGCCTCTCTCTCTGTGTGTGACTATCATAAATAAATAAAAATTTAAAAAAAAGTTTAAACCTGGAACAAAATTATTAAGATAATATTTCTAGATTTTATTTCATATCTTCCTGAGGTTACATTAATAGCAAGTAATTCCTCTTAAAAAATAAGGATATTGTTTCAACTTGTTGAGGTTACAGGGTGTGTTGTTGACTATATGAACTTTGGATGGGGCATGAAAATGAATAGCTCTGCTTTAAACAATTAAATCTTGAGCCAGTTCTTATCAAATTGGCCAAAAATTTAATAATCATGTTTTTCTTGTTTTACATCAATAGAAATTTTTTAAGCCCAAGTCTTTCAAAACAACGACAATTTCACATAACTCAATGCTTCTTCCCACATTGTGTGTTAGCATTATTGGAAACTTGTGTATATCATTTTATATTCCATTATAAACTATCAAATCATTTAGAGATTTTTATCTCCTAAGAAATAAGGAATTAAATCTATTCAGTCAGATTTCCTGTTAGGACATTTGGCTAATCCTCTGTCTTGCATAAATTATTGGACCCTCTTTTGAACTGATTATAATGCATTACCACCTGTGTTGATTAGTACTTTGCATTTTTGGTATGGTTTGATTTACAATTTTCTACATTTAATCTTCTGTACTTTGAAGATAGAGACAAGTACAGATTGATACTGTATAAATGTGTATACATTCAGTAGAAGGAACAGGCCAGATATAGCATTATATTTAGCTTTTTTAAAAATTATAACCCTATTGTATAATTGACTGTATAACTTTTCCCCCTTTTGAATTTAGTTGTAAACTCATGGCTTTCATAGATTCAAATGCATTCCAGGTGGATTTATTAGTAGTAGCTTA